TAGTGCATATATTAACAAACGCAAACATGCTTTCTATATTTGTCGTTTTTCATTTTAGATGCAACGTGGCATTTGAATTCGAATGGATCCTCCTGTCCCCTCTATTATGATTCAGCATGATTTCCGATTAAATCCAGATTAAACAGTATGCGTGCATGCGAACGCAAATTGTATAAAAAACAATCGCGAGACATTTACGAAGTCGAGATGAATCGGTAAGAGGCTTCGATCGTATGCGCCCAGAAAAACTTAATCACGTTACTTGTGGATCGCGGATTGGAGCCAGTATTTGCTGCGATTCAACTTCAACGAACATTGGAGCATCGGGTTAATTAGTTTCCAACTTGTTTTATATATATGTATATTACGTTCTAGTGATATATAATGCGCCTATTATCTGTTAGAAGTTCATTACTTCAGATTCAAAATTATCCATTGTCGAAAAGCAAATGTGAACCTGCGAATCTCACACTTTTCAATTGTCGAAGCGAACGTATATTTAGAAAAGGATTTTTTTTTTAATTTATATGAAAAATATCGTAAAATGTATATTGATTTAATAAACCAAGAGATTCGATCAAGATGATTTTTCGTGAATAACGATGTAAATATCAAAAATTTTATTTCGACCGATAATAAACAATCCGCGTAACGTAAATTTGCTCTAAGATAAATATTTACGAAAAGTTAATCGACGGCAATCAATTCAGATAGATAGAATATACATATGTTCAGACGATTTAGGCAGTTACTTACTATTTGCTTGCGATGCACAGAGACAGTGTTGAATATACGATGGATAAAGATAAAATATAATCAAGGAAATTCAGTCTAGTAATTAATATGATTATGAATGATAATCTGAAATATAGATATTCCACGTGATCAACACACACAGATAATCAGATTGAATTGATACAATTAGATGAGAATTGTAAAAATTGTAGAAATTGTAAGAATTAATAAAAAATTATGGTAAAAAACGATTAAACTGTTAATTTTATCCCTTAATTTTTTCGTCAGGATTTCCATTGAGATTCTTAGAGGTCAGATGTCGTTTTTTTTAACTGATACATTCCTACGTTTTACCTTCATTGTTATAAAACCTCATATGCAACGAAATCGAAAAAGTGAAGAAAAAAAATTGCCTTTTGACTTACAATTAGTCAATGAGGGCATTCAGTACTATAACTGTTCACTGCGTTCAGTGAGCTCTTACATCTGAATGGCATATTCCGTTAAATCTAAAAATATTAAATTAAACAGGTGCAAGAGCTCACTGAGCGCTTAGAGAGCACTTGTAGCCTACTGAATGCATCTAATAAATGCGATGGGGTGTAAGATATTTTATTTTTATTTCTCTTAAAAAATTAGTTATCTAATCATAATCGTAAAAGGTTTCACAAAAATAACATAGCCTATTAATTAAAAAATAACATTATTGCTACATTTTTTTCTATTTATTTAAATACGTCATTTTACTAAATTCTTCTAATCTTAAAATCTTTTTGTTTACGATACGATTTAAATGCTTTTTCTTTTGTTCTTTTCAGTGTTGTCCGTTGTGAAAATATTTAAACGAAGCACGAGGCGGTTTACACGAGTTTTAAAGCAAACTGCAAGACGTGGAGCTCCAACATAGTGATTGTTGCGTGTTCTTCTCCTTCGCATTTATCTCGGGCTTACGGGCGTCAACGGTTTTCTTACCATCTTCGGGATCCTCGTCGAGGACGCAGCCTGTCCGGGATGCGTGTCCGTCGGCAACACTCATCCGAAGTGCTTCCCGTTCTGCACGGTTTTTTTATTTTTTTTTTTTATTTTTTTGCGAAGTGGGTGCATGCAGACGCACACGAGGGTGCGCGATCATAAGGCGGTACGCGAAACACGTGCAGCATGCAGAAACACAAACAGAGACACAAACAAACAAAAACAAATTGGTAACTCAATGCCGTCCGCGCGGAAAAGGAGTGCCGATAACTCGAAGCTTCGTTGATAATCCCATTTGAAGGAATTTTGATTAATTGAAGATGTCAAGATATATAAAGTTATACATAGAGTTTATAACTCAAAAAACGATATTTAAATAGAGATATATTTAAACAAAAAGAATTTCGGATGTATAAATCAAATGTGATGCTAAATCCTCGCAGATCACAATCGTTCTTTTGAATTTCATTGTTTTGGATTATGTTGCATTCGATGAGAATATCCGTTTATATTTCAACCTCTCCTCTGGGATTTAGTGGAATCTCTAATTTAATTTCCTAACTTCATAATGCGGTATTCAAAAATACCAATTGCGCACGTTTGCGTGCATTAATCTCATCGAGCACGCTATTTAAGTATCAACATTGGTAATTGCATTAATGTCAATTGTCTGGATCACGCAAGAGACAGTTAATTGACATAATGGCGGTCAAGGCGATGTCCGATAATATCCCAGAAGCTTGTCCGTCAGATTAAATCGAGCTTGCGAGGTATCGGCTCAATGATAATCAGGATAAGTCTCGATTGCGAGTAAGAAGGATAGAGGGTGGAGAACATAAATTTATGTGCATTGATGGTGCTCGGAAATTTTCTCGGTACGTTCGACTTACATTCTCATATATATATTTTTTCTTTTTTTTTTTTTATTAGTTAATGAAACCTGAGCTTCGCAAAGAAATACATTACATGAATTGAATACATGTCGTCGATATCTTGTTCAAAATTTATTTATATCCAACAAACGGCCCATTACGAAAATGGAAATACGTGCGGTTACAATTATTGTTTACTATTCTTTAACAATATCATTCAACACATAGCGAGATTTTATTAATAATAAACTTAAAATAATTCTGCACACAAAAAAATATCCATTCTATTGCTAAGAAAAGTGGTTTTTCAATTTATTTTCTTGCTTTTAAGTTTAATTATCTTTAGCAAAGCGTTACCTTTATCTTATCTCTAGTTTAGTATTTCGTCTTGGTTTTGATATTTTGTCCCTACTTTATCTTTATTTCGAAACTTTACCATACCTTTTATATATTGTAAAATTCTTTTCCCTTTTATAGCAGGGCATATTTAGTTCCTTTATTTAAACATTCAAACCAACAGATAGCTCACGTTTGTATATCCTTATGCGTCACATAGATAAAGAATATATATATTCTACAATCTTCCCTTTTCTTTTGAAGGTCCTTTTTCTAAAATGATAACTAAACAATAGCATATATGCCTAATAATTAAGTAGTATTACATATTAAGTAGTATTATATATTAAGTAGCATTATATATTAGATAGTCGTATATATTAAGACCTTCCCGAATGCGAGGATAAATATGTTTATTTTTGTTTTTTTTTTTGTATAACAGATTTATTTTTATAGCATCATATTTGAGTGCCACAAATAATGACCTGCATATGTTCTATGATTAAGATGTGTAAAGAGATAGTGACAGATAGTGGCAGTATTGTTATGGTCTAATTAGCAGTGACATTCGAAGAATTTCCTATTTAGATATTTGTGGACTTCATTGTTTCGTTTAATGTAATAATACAATTATATAAATGCATTTTGCTGATTTTTTTTGAGTGTGTAAATTTATTTTATGGAAGATTTTATATATATATATATATATA